GGCAAGCCTTGGCACACAGTCTAGGTTGAACCAAGGAAGATCTCATATAAGCAGACTTCTAAAATTGTTACTTCTGTTGTTCACAAATATTAAGTTTATTAAATGAACACTATTAATAAAGGCATTTTGGAAGCTGTTATTTTGAAAAAAGCGAAGGAAAGTTGGAAACGCTGAATGTCGATCTTCCTTTACACTGTCACTATTGGGTCATTTTTTGGCAATCTTCTGTTGGTGGAGCATACGGTGTAGTTCTGGTCTGTTTCTGTGCCCTACTTTAAAGACCTACGCTATATGGTAAGCACAACGTGTAGTGTCTCCTATTTCCTTCGCACAGAGCGATATTCAGCTATCAACCTCGGAAGGAAATAGGTGGATGACTCTAACCGGGTTAGGAAAACCCAGGATCTTTTGGTTTTGAATCCGACGCTCTACCGACTTTGTACCGGTCTGTTTCAAAGAATAATGCGAATAATATAGAGAATCCAATTAATTAACCATTTACTAAAGCAAAACATTACAACATATTCTCCTGTGAGTACGCATGTAGGCATGTGTGCGTAAGAATTCCCTGTGATGTCGCGTACAAAAGACAACAAACCGGTCCGAGAATGTTATAGGACCCACGAAATTTAGTGACGGCAGTGTTTCCGGTTTTATCTTGGTTCTGCCTGCGGGAGTAACCTGCTAATCTCACAAAACGCAATGACAGTTTCACGCTTGATTACTCAACAAAACTTGTCTCAAGCGGAAAGCATCCTTCATTCTCATAATAAATAACATTTGCATGTCATCGTCATAGGAGCAGAAACACTAGTTACAGAATTTTAGAAGAAAACGGACTCTTCTTCATCAAGGGGTCGATGGCAACTGTGATGAATGAAAGCTACTGCAAAAGTGAGATTTATGCTTAAGTGAGGAACAGTAGATATCGATACTGCTGAACGTATATGCCAGTACAAACCCGCAAAAACACTTCATGACTAAGAAATACAGACTGAAAAAACTTATAACAGGCTTCATTTTTCTAGCGGATTAGTTTAGAGAGGAGTCTGACCGAAATCGAAATGATGCTTGCGACATCCTTCCAGCAGAGAATTGCGCAAATCAGTTACTTGATTTTCATTTCTCATTAGGAAGCTAAACTTCCTTCAGGCAAGGAGCAAGACAGAATTTCGCGACTTCTTTTCATACCCTCTAAACATAAACGATCGTGGCGGGGTTGCCGAGTGCGTTATAAGCTTCTAATACACGATGACTCAGACAGTTCGCGAACTCCAATCAGACAGTTCGCAAACGCCTAGACCTCGCTCTTAGTTCCTGCGGGGTACACGAAATTCAAGACGCTAAAAATTGCATTCTACCGCATCCATGTGCTTCCATAAATTCAACATCCAAAATGAAGTGTCATGCCAAAAAGAACATGGAAGAAAAATTTTTTCGTCTACACCCAGTAACTGCTTACGAACCCTGTAACTCCGCCAAATGGGTCATGGTAGTATCCAAAGCCTCTTGGCTGGCCCCTTTGTTGTTCCTGTTTTATTATCATCATATTTAGTCGTTCAACAAAACAGCGAGCTGATTAAGATTCGTGGTGTACTTTAGAGAAAATCTGCAAAAGAAAAGGGCATTCCGACTACAAAATATGATAGAAAAATTTGAGGCCACACTAACATCCAAGGGTAAGATTAACCATTTACATCATGCTATCTACTCTTCGAACAGTGGCTTGACCGACTTTTGCGCGATTATGTGACAGCAAAAGTTGTCACTTCGAAGGACATTGTGAATCTCCTCCCTGAACATGTCATGAATCTTTAATGAGGTTTCATGCCAATGAACAGGCCTGTAAACAGCACTTTTTATGTACAGTGGCATCATTTGCATAGCCTGATTTCACTTTTTAAATGATTAAATTTTCTAACAACTCCGCCATGGCCGGTCCCAAGCCCGGATGAGAAAGGAGGAGGGTTGGAGACCGTGGCAAGTCT